AGCAGCTAGTGGAACACAGCAGCAGCAGCAGCAGCAACAGCAGCAACAGCAGCAAAATGCTGCTGCTGCGACTGCACAGGCATCTGCAACAGCAGCAGCAGCTGCTGCTGCGGTCGGGAAGGGCTGCAGACACTGCAGCCTCAATGACCCATCTTGTAACCGCCCAGAAGCAGCAGCACCACCACCACCAGGGGCAGCAACAGCAGCACACCGAGCAGCAACAGCCGAAAAGCCAGCAGCAAACACAGCAACAGCAGCAGCAGCAGCAGCTGTCTATGCAGCAGAAACTGCAGCAGAAGGTGCAGAATGCTGTGCAGCGGCTGGTGTTCTCAAGCGCTGTGAGGATCCGCAACATTATGCGCAGCAACAGCAGCAGCAGCAGCAGCAGCAGCAGCTTTGGTGGTTGGTGTAATTCAGGCCTGATTGAGTGTGCTGCTGCTGCAGAGGGGCAGGAACGACAGCAGCAACAGCAGCAGCAACAGCAGCAGCAGCAGCACCCGAGCGCCCTGGTGCAGCAAGCTGTCCCTCGCGTTTTGCTGCTGCATCCACAGTACGACACGAACTGCACCACAGTGCAGCTGCAGCCACACAACTACCTGCAGCAGCAGCAGCAGCAACAGCAGCAGCAACAACATGCAGCTGGAGGAGAAACAAGAGCGCAACGGCGGCAGCAGCAAAGACTGTTGCAGAAGCAGCAGCAACGGAAGAGTCTTCCTCATCTTTCCTCAACTGTACCTCCTAGCAGCAGGCCTGCTGCTGCTGCTGCTGCATCTGTTGCTGCTGCTGCTGCATCTGTTGCTGCTGCTGCTGAAGCTACTGATGGTGTTGCTGCTGCTGCATGCATACCTTCCCCCTTTGATATAGACTTTCCTTGGGGCTTTGGCCCTAGCGAGCGTTTGTATGCCTATCTATGTAGCACCTTTCCCCCTGCTGCTGCCGCTGCAGCAGCAGCAGCAGCAAGAGCAGCAGCAGGAGGGGAACCCCTCTCTAAAGCTGCATCATCAGCAGTAGAAGAAGCAGCAGCTGCTGCTGCTGCTGCTCCTTTTGGGTGTCTAGTGAGGGGCCGCCGTGTATTAGATTGTGGCTGCTATGAAGGTGCTGGTGTTGCGCTGCTGCTGCAGCAGCTGCATGCAGCAGCAGCAGTAGGTGTGGATATCAGCAGAGCAGCAGCAGCAGCAGCAAGGAAACGATGCCAGAAGGAAGTTGCTGCAGGACGTGCTGCTCTGCTTCAGGGAGACCTGTACAGCAGCAGCTTGCTGCCGGTACTGCAGCAGCAGCTGCGTCAGATGCAGCAGCAGCAGCAGCAGCAGGAAGCAGGGGTGGCAGCAGGGTATATGGATCGATCTCCAATAGGCGTTAAGGAAGGACATACAACAACAGCAGCAGCAGCAGCATTTGCTGCTGCTGCTGCTAATCCTGCAGCAGCAGCAGCAGCAGCAGCAGCAACAGATTTGTTTGATGTTGCGGTGTCTGTTGAGGTGCTGCCTGCTTCCTTGTCTCGCTGCTGCTTCTTTGCTGCTGTTGCTCAGCTGCTGCGGCCTGGCGGTTTGCTGCTGCTGCTGGATAGACTAGAAGAGCTAACAGGGGCAGCATATCCAGCTGTGGATCTGCAGCAGCTGCAGCAGCTGCTGCAGCTGCATCAAGAACAGCAGCAGCAACAAGTGCAGCAGCAGCATGCAGGGATCCATCAAGGAATAGGGCATCAGTACTTGCAGCAGCAGCTGCTGCTGCTGCGCTCGCAGCAGCAGCAACATGCAAATCGTCTGCTGCAGCAGCTAAAGGGGACAGGCCTCCGTGTGCTGCTGCTGCAGGACCTTCGGGTGTATGTAGGGGGGACGCAGCAGCTGCTGCTGGAGCAGCACGGCAGCAACCCCTTGCTGCTGCTGCACCGCCATACCTTAGCAGCAGCGCAGCAAAAAATAAGAAATTATCCTTACCTTCATCTTGTTGCTGTTAAAGAATATTAAAGACAATACTACCATCTGCTGCTGCTGCTGCAGCAGCAGCAGCAGCAGCAGCAGCAACTGCAGCAGCTGTGCTGTCCAGGCAACTGGCGTTGCCTTAACTTAGTTGTACAGACACCTACCAATGGGGTAGCATGCAGCACAGTTTGCTGCAGTTAACTGCAGCAGCAGCAGCAACTACAGCAGCAGCTGCTGCAGCAACAGCAGTTGCAGCAACAGGCGCTGCTGCTGCCTATGGACTGAGTTGCACTAAGTGTTTTTTCGTTTGTTGCTGTAGTTGCTGCTGCTGCAGTTGCTGCTGCTGCTGCTGCTGCTGTTGCTGCTGCTACATCGATCGTTGCTGCAGTTGCTGTTTGTGGTCTGCGCAGCAACACAGCAGGAGCATATCTCCGTCACTATCTACCTTTCAGGGACTAGGGTTTAGGGTTTAGGGTTTAGGAATTAGGGTTTAGGGTTTAGGGTTTATGTTACCTTGTGTTGGGGGTCCACCTAGTCTTGGTGGCTCAAGGGATTCTTCGTTGCCTAACAACCCGCAGCTTTTCTTCTTTTCTCCCTTACTGTGTTTGCTGCTGCTGCTGCTGCGGCGGCTCCTGCTGCTGCTGCTGCCGCTGCTGCTTCGACTGCTGCTGCTGCTGCTGCTTCGACTGCTGCTGCTGCTGCTGCTTCGACTGCTGCTGCTGCTGTTGCTGCTATTGCTGCTGCAATGGCTCTTACTGCTGCTGCTGCTACTTCTGGCCCAGTGGCTTGGTACACATGTGCTCGAAGCAGCAGCAGCAGCAGGTGTTGCTGCTGCTGCGTGCTGCTGCTTGGCGTAGTTTCCTGCAGGCAGGTACACACAGATCGCAAACCCTTGCTGCTGCAGTTTGCTGCTGCACCTTTGTGTTGCTGCTGGTGCCTTCTCCCTTCGCTACGTGTGGTTGGCGTGTTACAAGAGCGGACGCTGCAGCGGCAGTGCCAGGAGCACCCACAGCAGCAGCAGCAGCAGCAACAGCAACAGCAGCAGCAGCAGCAGCATGGAGTACACACTTACTGGCTAGCATTTCTTTAACGGGGGCAGCAATCGCCTCAATTCGTTGCCCTAGAGAACCAACCACATGCGTGCTTTTGCTGCTGCTGCTGCAGTTGCTGCTGCTGCTGCTGCAGTTACTACTACTGCTGCTGCTGCTGCAGTTGCTACTGCTGCAGTTGCTACTGCTGCTGCTGCAGTTGTCATTGCTGCTGCTGCAATTGCTGCTGCTACTGCTGTTACTGCTGCTGCTGCTGTTGCAGTTGCTGCTGTTGCTGCTGCTGCTGTTGCTGCTGCTGCAGCTGGTGCTGCTGCTGCTGCTGTTGCTGCTGCTGCAGCTGGTGCTGCTGCTGCTGCTAGTGCTGCTTTTCCAGTCTTTCTCTGCAGAGTGGGAGTGGCCTTTGCCTGCCAGTTTTTGCTGCTTCCGTCCCCGCTGCTTCTGCTGCTGCTGCGGCTCTTCTTGCTGCTGCTGCTGCTGCTGCTGCTCACACTCTAGCAGCAAAGGGTCCCCTGACGTGTCTGGGGTCCCCCCATCTGCTGTTACTTCGCTTGTACTATTAGCTGTTGAGCAGTTGCTGCTGCTAAAGGAGCAGCAGCAAGAAGCCGCTGCAGCAGCCAGCTGCTCGTGATGTAGCTTGTATAGCCTCATGCTGCTGCTGCTGCTGCAGTTGCTGCTGATGCTGCTGGGACAGCAGCAGCGTTGCACGTACGAACAACCTAACACTTCGTGGCCCCCACAGTCCCCCCTTAATCGGCTATAGCTGTCTATATCCGATAGAATCTGCTGCTGCTGCTGCTGCTGCTGCTGCTGCTGTGTCTTGCTGCGCATGCAACAACAGGGAGGGAGGCGAGTATCATCCAGCCCCAACACAGGACAATGTGTGTGGGGAGGGCAGCAGCAATAACGCATGCTGCTGCCGCTGCTGTTGCTGCAGCAACTGGTGCTGCAGCAGCTGCTGCTGTAGTTGCAGCTGCAGCTGCAGGGGAAATAAAGGGCAGTTTCTTCGTGGGGCCCCTCAACATTTGCTGCTGCTGCAGCGCAGCAGCAGCGTGGAGCAGCAGGAGGGAGAGGTTGCTGCCAGCAGCAGCAGCACAACTGCTGTGCTGCTGTTGCTGCTGGCAGTGAACACTTACACTCATCTCTCGTTGCTGCTGCTGCTGGTGCTGGTGCTGGTGCTGCTGCTGTTGCTGTTGCTGCTGTTGCTGCTGCTGCTGCACTTGCTTTTTCCCCCGACGTATGACACTGAGTACCCTCACTGGTTTGTTGGGGCCCCTCCTGCCCGCTTGCTGGGTCCTTGTGTGGGCCCCCCTGTCTACTGTTCCCAGTGGAGGACCCCTGCTGCTGCTGCTGCTGCTGCTGCTGCGCTTGCTGCGGTTGCCTTTGTATATTCTCTAGGTGCTGCAGCAGCTGCTGCAGCTGTCTCCTTTCTGCTGCTGTGCAGCTGCAAGCTAAGACAGCACGATGCAGCTGCTCTACCACCTCTGTTGAGCTTGCTCCCTGCTGCTGCTGCTGCTGCTGCTGCTGAGACACAGGGGGGGCAAATGCAGCAGGATGATCAGGCTTTATGCCTACATCAGTTTCCTCTGTCCCCTCTGTCTCCTTTTCCTCTGCTGTCTCCTTTTGTGGCCTTGCTGCTGTCAGCATGTTGCTGCTGCTGCTGCTGTTTTCATTTGGGTAGTACCCTGGCGGGCAAAGTGGAGAGTCTAATGCTGCTGCTGTTGCTGCTGCAGCAGCAGCAGCAGCAGCACCAGCAGCTGCAGCAGCAGCAGCAACACCTGGTTCAACTGCTGATGCTGAGGAGACAGCTGTCAGCCTATCGCTGCTGCTGATAGACGATCCAGTGGCTTCGTGCTGCTGCTGCTGCAGTTGCTGCTGCTGCTGCAGCAGGGCGCGGTCCCCTAACTTGCTGCTAGACAAGCTTCTATAAAGCCCTTCCATCCTTTTAAAATTGTTGCTGCGACAAGCAGCAACACATGGATCCTGCAGCAACAGCAGCGGCTGCTGCTGCTGCTGCTGCTGCTCCTCTTGCTGGTGTTGCAGCGTCTGCTGGTGTTGCAGCGGCTGCTGGTGTTGCTGCAGCTGCAGCAGCTGCTGTTGCTGGTTACGCTGTGGTGGTTGTACGTGCTGATGAACCTCACGTGTCTCCCATTCTTGCTGCTGAACATTTCTATCTGCTGCTGCTGCTGCTGCTGCTTGTCTCCGTTGGGAATCAGCAGCAGCAGCAGCAGCAGCAGCACGACGTGCAGCATCTGCCTTGAGCAAGGCTCTCCTCTCTTCCTTGAGTCTCTCTTGTTGGTCCTTAACTCGCAGCAGCTCATGCTTAAGCTTTCTGCGGTTCTTTGCAGCAGCAGCAGCAGCAGCAGCTGCTGCTGCTGCTGCTGCGGTTGCTGTTGGTGGTGGTGGTTCTGCTGCAGGGAGGAAAGGCACGAAGACAGCAGTTGTGCTGCCCATTCGGGTGTCTCTCCATCCGATCTGCTGCAGGGAGGTGCTGCGCTGCAGCTGCTGCGGTGCAGCAGCAGCAGCAGCAGCAGCAGACAGCCCAAAGGGGTGTGGGTGTCTCCTTTCTCTACGTTGAAAGGTATGGTATGTTGCTGCTGCATTAGCAGCAGCAGCAGCAGCTGCTGCTGCTGCTCTCCTTCCTCTGCTGCGCAACGAACAGGAGAGAGAGCTAGACGACCTCTCGCGCATAGCAGCCCTTAAGTGCTGCTTTACTTGCTGCTGCTGCTGCTGCAGCAGCTGCTGCGTTGGTCTGCTGCATCTGCTGCTGCTGCAGCTACGACTGCAGCAGGTGGAGGGTCTTCGCTTTATTCCTTTTGGGGAGCAACAGCAGCAGCGGTTTGCTGCAGCAGCAGCAGCAGCAGCATGGTGACTGTCATCGAACCCAACAGGACTCCATCTGCTGCTGCTGCATCCGCTGCTGCTGCTGCTGCTGGTGCTACTGCTGCTGCTGCTGCAGCTGTCGTGGTATGCAGCAGCAGCTTGTAGTGCTTGTAAGTGTGCCAGCTGCTGCTGTGACGAATGTAAGGAGAGACCGCCTAGGTGGTACTTGGTGGGGTTGTGAGCAGCAGCAGCAGCAGCAAAAATACCCGTGCTGCTGCTGCTGCTGCTGCTGCCGAATCGATGCCTCCTTCCTCCCTCCAATAGAGGGTGTCCCCTCGAGGTATATTGAGGTGTCAGTAGTCTCCTGCTTCTGCCTGTGGGGCCTGCTGCTGCTGCTGCTGCTGCTCTCTGTGCTGCTGTATCCTGATGTATATTATGGCTAAAGGAGAATCGATGAGGCATGTCAGCAGCAGCAGCAGGAACAGCAGCAGCAACAGCAGCAGCAGCAGGACTGGGAGTAGGCCCCCTAAAGAGACTTTTATGTCTATGCATGAGGGGAGACAAGAAAGGAGACAAATTGTCTCCTTTCTTAATGCAGCAGCAAATCCCCTTAAGGATCTACTTTCTGGTGTATGCTCAGCTATGGCTACAGCAGCAGCAGCAGCAACAGCAGCAACAGCAGCAGCAGGATAGGGATGCTAGGAAACTCCTTTACAGCAGCGGGATCTTCTCTCAACTTATCGTTCTGAGGGTTTAGGGTTTACAGTTTAGGGTTTAGGGTTTAGGGTTTAGGGTTTGTCTTGTGTCCCATCTATCAAGCAGACAGACAAAGGGAGAGACAGGAAGATAATTAGTTGCTTTTATTTATTTATTTTATATTTTTATATTTATTTATTTTATTTCTTTTATTTCCTTAAAAGAAGCAAAGAAGAAGGACGAAAAATAGATGCAAGCAGCAGCAGCAGCAGCAGCAGCAGCGGCGGCCGTGGGGAGCGTTGGCTGCAGTGTAGGGTCACCTTGGGGGTCAATGTTGTGTCTTCTACGTCTTTTTTTATGAATAAAAGGAAATAAATAATTAATTTAATTAATTAAATTAAATAAACGTTTATTTAATTAAAAAAAAGAAGAAAAAAGAAGAAAAAAGAAGAAAAATACACCGCCTAGCTGCCTATACACCCGAATTAGATCGCTCACCCTATTTAGGTATTATTTGTTGCTCGTTTATTCATTAAATATTTAATTAAATAATTAATTAATTAAATTAATTAATTAAATAAGCTAAATAAATAAATAAATTAATATATTTATTTATTTATTTATTTATTTATTTATTTATTTATTTATTTATTTGTTTATTTATTGCATTTGCGTTAGTTAATAGAAAAAAGGAGGATTTGTCTCTAAAGGGACAATTGTCCCTTTTTATGAGCAAATACAACAACATAATAATATATAAATAAATATAAATAATAAATATAAATATATAAATATATATATATAAATAAATATATATATTTATATAAAAAATATATATA